TGAAGCTTAAATATTTAGAAAATAATTAAGAAATAACTCTTTTTATAAATTTTTTTAAACAATCTTATGTATTAGTTACTAATAATTAATTTTTTACTTTATTAAATTATATTATATTATATTTTATATTTTATATTTTATATTTTTAAATTTTATATAAAAATTTATATAAAATTAATTATAATTATTATAATTAATAATACTTAACTTATGTGTTTGAAGTATAAATTAGAAAATCCCTTCATTATTTAGTTCCGGCTCATGCATTAATCAATCTTGGCCGTACACGTATGTCAGCTTAACTCCCACTCCTCTTGTATATATGACTCATAAAATAATGGTAAGCTGAAGCACAGAGCATGGCTAAAACTCTAAGCCCCTGCAATTTCATCCCCCTCCTCATCGCCATCGCCCTCCCTCTCTCTCTCCTATCCACCGCCGTGGATCCTCCTGAAGTTGCTTCTGCGGCTCGATGTGATCCGCCTTACACGCCTAATGCCTGCGGTATTGATGAAGAGCATCTACCCTCTAATGGCCTAGTTGGTGCTGTTGATGAAGAGCTATGGAACAAAGCAGGGACCCCGCCGTGTGGTGCCATCTTCCAGGTACGATGCATCGAGGGGCCTGGCGCTTGCCGTTATGGGACAACTGTAAATGTCACCATAACCGATCGCATTCAACAAATGGTATCTGCACCTTCCAGCCCTGGCGTTCGCTTTGCGCTCTCCTCAAAAGCGTATGGCTCTATCGCGGATCCGGGGAAGGATTCAATCAAAATCCAATACCAAAAGGTTTGAGGTTTTCTTAATTTTTTCCATGCTTGGCTTTTTTTTCATTTTTTGTCTAAAAACGACGTAGTTTTGATGTTTTTGGGTTTGGGTCTGGCGTTAAGCGGTTCCATATCGACGGGTGGATCCCCTTGTAGGCACCTGGGGGCTCCGTTCCTGTCAGGTTGCCGTTTTCCGGAGTCAGTTTCCTGATCAGATCCGGAAACACAGCAGATCCGGGAAAGGCAATCCGCGGGGCAGATGGGAGATTAACCCGAAGACAGGCCAGGAGAAATTGGGGTCCCTGTCTGCCTAAATTTTCTTTCATAAAATGCTAGAATCTGTCCCTCTCCATATTCGTTTTTGATTCACCACCTTATCCTCAATCTTCGTGTATCAAATTAGAGAAAAGTATTGGTCTTGGCCGTTTAAAGGTCAA